GCTGGGATTACAGGCGACAGCCACCACCCCCGGCCACCCCCTCCTTTTTTTTTGAGATGGAGTTTCACTCTTGTTGCCCAGGCTGGAGCACAAAGGTATGATCTTGGCTCACTGCAACCTCCGTCTCCAGGTTCAAGTGATTCTCCTGCCTCAGCCTCCTGAGTATAGTGCCCACCACCAGGCCTGGTTTTTCTTTTTTTCTTTTTTTTTTTTTTTGTGTGTTTTTAGTAGAGATGGGGTTTTGCCATGTTAGCCAGGATGGTCTCAATCTCCTCACCTTGTGATCCGCCCCCCTCAGTTTCCCAAAGTGCTGGGATTACAGGTGTGAGCCACGAGGCCTGGCCTCTTATTGTTTCTGGAATTGTTCTTATCGTTGCAAGCTTCAGGCGTTAGCATTTGTGGTTCCCTTTGCTTGGTACTCCCTGAGCTGTATACACAATGTGAACTTCAATTTGATCATTTCCAAATGCCACCTCCCTAAGGAGGCATTCCTGTCTATCCTATTCAGAATGGTACTTGTTTCTATCTGTTTACTTTGACATTAGGTTATAACAGCATCTACTTTGGGAGGCTAAGGTGGGTAGATTGCTTGAGCCCAGGAGTTTGAGACCAGCCTGGTCAACAGAAAACCCTTCTCCACAAAAAATACAAAAATTAGCCAGGCGGGGTGGCACGTGCCTGTACTCCCAGCTACTTGGGAAGCTGAGGCAGGAGGATCTCTTGAGCCCAGAAGGTAGAGGATATAGTGAACCAAGATCAAACCACTGCACTCCAGCCTGGGTGACAGAGCAAAACTCTGTCTCAAAAAAAAATTAAAAATAAAAATAAAATAAAGCATCTGTTTACTCCTTGATTCTCTGTCTCATCCACTAGTGTATTAGGGTAGGAGTTCTTTGTTCACTGCTATATTCCCAAGGCTTTGAGCACCCAGTAGGTGGTGCTCCATGAATACTGATGAATGAAAAAATACATGAATGAGTGAACGAGTTATACTTTTTTTTCCTTTAGTCACACAAGAGAAAAAAAGATATCTATTGACAGTTACAGCTCAAGAGAGTCTGTGCTGCTATGAAACAGCTGGAGAACCACAGGACACTGAAAGCATCATGCTCAGAACCCACCGGTTCAGCGTCCGAGGCTGGATGGGTCTCAGACTGCCCAGCAGTAGTGTACTATACAGGTGGATCAGCTGTAAAGAAGAAAAAACTGATCCATGAGCAGACACTAAAGAAAACAGTGGGATGAAATCAATACTGGGTTAAGTGTGGAGGTCTGTGAGTTTGAACATATTGTCCCAATAGATTTTAACTAAGCTATTTTCCAGTAGACATTTTTTTTTCATAATGCTTTCTTTTAATGCCTCGACAAGTCGCAAGAGCTTTACTAAATATTGCAACTCTTGGCCAGGCATGGTGGCTCATGTCAGTAATCCCAGCACTTTGGGAGGCCAAGGCAGGCAGCTTGCTTGAGCTCAGGAGTTCCAGACCAGCCTGGGCAATATGGAAAAAACCCCATCTCTTAAAAAAAAAAAAAAAAAATACACCGGGCATGGTGGTGCACACCTGTAATTCCAGCTACTTGGGAGGCTGAGGTGGGAGGATCACTTGATCCCAGGAGGTCGAGGCTCCAGTGAGCCGTGATCATGCCACTGCACTCCAGCCTGGGCAACAAAGCAAGACCTTATTTCAAAAATAAGTAAATATTGCACGTCTCTTTTTTTGGCACTAAGGCAGAAGTACATAGACTCATTTCTCCAACTTTGAGCGATCCCAGATGGCTCTACTTGAACAGAAAAGAAACTGAAAGTTCAATCGTGTATAACCCCTTGTAAACAATCTGGGGGGGAAATGGTTAGGTTCTGGCTGGTGATAGTTTACTTCAATGAGGTCATGTAGCACAGTGAAAACAATAAATGACTCAACATTAGGGAGACTTGGGATCTGATCCCATTTTTGCCATTGGTTAAACAACAAGCAAGTTTACCCGGCTTGCTGCAGGCTTGCGTCCTCATGCATGAAATGGACTAAACAATCTCCACATTATTAATGCTTTACGACTCCACTTTCCAAAAATGGAAGTGCATTTGAAGACAATACCAGGCCCTTGAAAATGAAGTGGGGAGGGTAACAAACAAGCTGCAACAGAGAATAGTATCAAGCTTTTAAAGAAACAAATTAATACCGAACAGAGGCCCTTATAGTGTCTACACCCTTTCAGCTTGAATGTCAGCACTGGCTGTACCGACAGAAGACTTGCATGACCTTTTTCTGAAATAAGCCTTCCTCTCCTAGCAACTCAATATCATGGGCACACTTTTCCAGGTACACTAGAGTTGGGTGCTGGTCTAGAGCTGCACTGTCCAATATAGTAGCCACAAGCCACATGGGGCTGTTGGGCACTTGGAAATACGGCCAGTTGGAAGTAAGATGTACTGCAAGTGTAACATACACACGGGAATTTGAAGACGGCACAAAAAAAAAAAAAAAGAGAGGATATAAAATATTCAGCATTGATATTGCTATTGATTGAAACAATATTTTGGATGCACTGGTTTAAACAGAATATACTATTAAAATTAACTCCACTCGCTTCTTTATGCATTTGCTAATACGACTACTAGAAAAATTCAGCATACATATGTGGCTTCTATTGTATTTCTATTGGACGGCGCTACTCTAGATATCAGAATCTAGAAAGTAACTGAGATTCAAACTCTTCAATGAAGCACTTTTTAAATACTCTACTGGGAAGTTGATTCCACTCACTGCTCTGCTGCCGTGGCGGTCCTGACTTTCCAAGGCCATGCCCAGAGCGCGGCACACGTGG